CCCGGCTGATTCAGGATGTGAGGGCCCTTTAAGACGCACCGAGCACGTCCCCGGAGGGGCGAGCGACCCCGCAGGGGGAGACCCTGCGGGCGACAGTCCCGGAGGGGAGTGTGGAGCGAGTGTGAGGCAGGTTGTTCTCTTCCTCCAGACTGGAGCCCGTGAGACAGGGGAAGTCCAGCCTGGAAGCCGCTGTGCCAAGCGGTGCGTTTTTCTTTTTCCTTTTTTTTTCTTTCTTTCGGTTTTCGCCATCCTCCCACTGGTGCCTCCCGACGGGGCGTCGACTCTTACCCCTGTTCGCCGCGGCTCCTCCCCCTCCTGCACTGTTACAGCCCCCTAACCCTTAAGCCCGGGTCCGAGGGGTCCGTAGCAATAACAATCCTGCGACCGCGAGCTGACGCTTCTATCCCACGAGACTCGCAGCGACCAGGGTGCGAGGTGTCTGTCCGTCAGGAGCTGCTGCAGGCGCAGAGCAGGCCTTGGTCAGGAGGGGGGGGGGCGGGAGCAGACAGAGGCTCCCGGAAGGGTGTCTGCATACCTGCCTGCGCGCTGGCGCCCCCTGTGGCGGTTTGAAGCCGCGCGCGAGCGGCGCCGGGAGCCGCGGGGGTGGCCCGTGCGCGGCGCTCAGGTGCTGTCTCCCCCTGCCCCCCGCGACAGGTGCTCTGCGGCCGATACGTCAGCGGGCACATGGTGGCGCATGGGCTGGCATCGGGGCACGCGCTGGTGCTGAGCTTCGCCGACCTGTCCGTCTGGTGCTACGACTGCGAGGCCTACGTGCACAACGAGGTAGGGGGCCGTCCGGGGGGGGGGGGCTGCTCTTGGGCTGGCGCGGGGGCAGAGGGGCTGGCGTTTCGTGTCTGGCTGAGAAATGAAAGAGATTTCGATCTCTGTCTCAGCGTTCCTTCGTTCCATCCTTCCTCCTTTCCTTCGTTCGTTAATTCATTCATTCAGCCAACCAGTTACTCAGTCAGTACACACCGAGCTGCGTGAACTGGGGCTTGGTGAGCTCATACTCTGGGCGAGGGCAGCGTACAGCAGAGAGCCAAGGATAGACAGCACCCGCCCAGCACATCTTCACACCCCAGCGCTCTAGACACACAGCGGCGGTACAATCATTAACACACTGGCGCGCGGTGAGAATCCACACCTGACGCCCCAGCCTCGAGAGCAGGAGCCAGCTTGTCCCCCTGCAGGGCAGGAGACGCCCGGAGAAGGAGCACCTCGTTTGTGTCTCCCAAGCTGTCCATCTTGCAGAAGGCTGTTCTGTTTTCGGCTGTCACCATCTCACAAGCCCGGTCAAGCGCATGCTGTCCTCTCTTCGCCATCTCACTCC